CTAAAGTAGCAGACAGAGAATCAGCACTTTTGAAACAGGGCTGAAACAGAGGGGTTTATGGGATGCTGCAATGATCTGTTTGGTATTTTGAGCCAAACAATTCAGGGACACGTTTAGTATATATCTGAGACCTATTATATATTGATGAAAAACAGTATAATAGGGGACCTTTACTATGGAGTTAATATTGATGTAAAAGTGAACGTGCCCATGCTCCATCAGGTCCGAAAAGCTCCAGGAAGTTACTGATAAATTCTCGCGACTTCTCTTCCCACTTGTGGATGAGGTCATGGCTCTTCTCTTCCACTCTGTAGACAAAGTGTTTGGACTTTTCCTCCACCGTGCGGACCGTCTCTTTCATCTTGTCCACTTGTTCCTGGAGTCGATATTTCTTTTCCTGTCAGTGAAACACAAAGCAAGTGACTGACAGTACATTTATGATGACCAAAAACTCCAATATTCTATTTTGTAAATTGCAACAAATACAATTTCACGTACATTAATGTATCCAACATTGAGTTCTCGGGCTGTGTAGCCTCTCTGCAGGTTGCGTCGAACATAAATGTCATAGTCTTTGACGATACGAGTGATCAGATCAGATGTGGAGATTCCTTCTGTCCTCTCAGTGGCCACGAACATCCCTGACATTGAAACATAAATGAATGTAAGTAAATAAAATGATGAAGAATGAACTAAAATCATATATATCATTATCTATAGGTTTACCTGCTTCCTTGATGTGTTTGTAGACATCCTGTGATCCAGCAGAAGTGTAAGGAATATCATCATGGGCCACAAAGTCAATCTGTGAGTGTAACATTGAAGCGTTCAGACTGATTTAGCACCAGATATCTTTTGGTGTTGTCACTGTACGACATTATGAGAAGCTGTGTGTCCAATGACTGCGTAACCTTTGACCTTGTGTCTATGGAGGAACTCTGCGCTGAGCGTCCAGGGAGCGTCCCGCACCACCTCGTCAACGTAGCGGCAGTGTGTCAGGGCGTCATAGCGTTCGTTCTCTGTCATCACCGTGTAGCCCTTTAACTTGTGGGTGAGTTCATCACTGCAGACTAGGGACACAAAGGACTTGGTAGTCATAAACCAGGAAGCCAGGGTTAATCTGGAATGAATAAACTATAATATTTCGTCCAATTAATAAAATATTTGGGTCCTTCAAAAGACATTTTTATCATTTTTGTAATCAAGGTTTGGGAGGGTTACTTTAAAATAGTTTTATACGATTACTACACACACTACCTACATGACAATAAGATGAGATAAGATGTATATCAGGGAGTGAGATTCATCCTTTACCTCCTACTATCAGGTATGTGTTTGGAAACACATTTTTGGCCTGCATCAGAGCTCGAGCATGTCCCGAATGGAAAAGATCAAAAATCCCATCAGCGTAGACTCGCACAGGACGATTGGCTACATGATGAAGCATATGAAAACATGTCTTTTAAGACCAAAACAACATTCATAAACCATCAATTCATCTTTCCATATTATTCAAAGATATTGAGTGACGTAGAATAGGCTGATGCCAATATCTGATCAACCGTTAGACTTTGATACGTTTAATCTGTTGCTTTCACAGTAGAATGGCGTGGCACATTCCTAGAGAAAGAGGTCATAATAATACCAACCCTGCAATCAGCCAAATAACTAGCAGTAAAGGAATAAATAACTATTTACAGCTGATATCAGCTGATACATTCATAATCAAAGGGGCCCAATTATGCTCAATTACAGGTTCAGTTTTTATCGTGTGCCTCTACTGTGACACGTTTACATGCTTTAATGTTCAAAAAGGTCATTATATATTATTTACATGAACAAAAACATATATAAAAAACTACAGGAAAGGGAAAACCCCAAAAGCATAATAGGGCCCCTTTAAGCATCTGAGTAATTCTCCTTCTCTTATCGCTCACAACCTACGAGCTGGTTGTTTTCTTGGTTGCATGACATTATTTATAAATGAGAGCAAAAACTAAAGAGAAGTGTGACCTGGTGTGCCCCTCCGTGCCTGGGTGATGGTCAGCTTGTCATGGGGGGTCTGTGAATCACAACCTGTGGACTTGGCAAAAGCAGCCGGCTCCCGCTGAGACTGAATACAGGGAGAGAAGTGGGAAGAACATGTTTGACCTTTGTTAGAGCTTTCATTTTCCAATTTAAATTCTCCGTTTTATAAACTACTAATCCTTTTTTTTTTAGGTCTTATTGTGCATTAAGTGAAAAACATGACATTTTATACACACATGCATAATTATTTTTGCCATCATGCTGGCCATTTTTTACGTTTCCAGTTAGCTGTACCTATTTTGAGCGTGGGTGTCAAAAACAAGAAAGAGCAGGAAGACAAAATACAGCAACTGTGTTATAACAGTTAAATAAAACACTAATATATAAATTTGAAAGAAGCTCATCCTCGATCTGGTAAGAAGTAATGTGTACAAAAATAAATATTTGTTATCAAACCATATAGCTTTGATAATGATCTTTAAACAGATGTGAATTCTGTCGGTAACGAGCGTCTCCATATGTCATGAACTTTGTGTTGTGTGTAGAAACAAGCATCTTTATCTGATGTGATGTAAGATATACTTTGAACTCTGCTTCCACTCAAATGTCTGGTGATTCCTGTGCTGTGTTAATTTATAAGGTTCTACAGTTCACCCTCTTGAATTTGATCTTGAAATGATCTTTGTGAAGACAATTTGTTTAAGCCCTGTTAAGGAAATTGTGCGATCACATGTGTTAACCTTGCTAGCCTCCCAGAATGTTGTAGTAATGTAAATCTGCTTTGATGTCCTCTTATAAAGAAAGAGAGCCTGTTTCACTCAGAACAGTACGTTCTCCTTTGGAGGAGACGACTTGCAAGTATAAAGGTCTTTTTTGCCTTTAATACGAATATTGTGTTGCTGTACGTTTGTTACCTAACTGATTATTCTCTCTAGACCACAGCTGATTTTAAAGCTGCTACAACAGCCCTCCATGCTTCTTATAAATGTTGTTTCTTATAGTCCATAGTTAGCAATGATTTAGTGACTTTACACCTATAGGTAGGAAGTAAACAAACATGCAGGTTTCCACAAAGGAGGCACACATTCACGATGTAATGTGTAACTTTTGTACTTAAATGATATACTATATGGCTCACAATTCTGTCACAGGCTACATATACAACTAGAAAGCTAATTTAAACAAATAATAATTAACTATTTTAAGTGAAAGGATGACTTAAAACAATTTTCTATCATACTAAACAAGTGTTTACTTAATATCACTTAAGAATAATAACATGTTGCTGCTTTATGAACAAACTTAATCACTCCAACCAGTTCTTCAGTTTACTGTGCCCTCCCTATCACAAGTCAAACAGACAAAAGAGAAAAGTTTACTACTGTAATATTGACCAAGCCTTTTACTTAACAACACAAAACAAATATAACTGGTAAATACAACGGTATCTATGACTCATATCCAAATACAAAAAGACAATCAGAATCTCCTTTACAGGACTTCCCATTATTTAAAGTGTGAGAATAAACATTACATCTTGAAAGAACAGGTCTTACCCCGCGAGGGCCCGCTCTCTGGTGCCGTGGGGCCCGGTGCTGCTGGGCGTTGTTTCCCCGGCCTCGTCTCCTCCCTGCCATCCTGGATGTTCTGCTTTGTGTCTTCTCACAACACCCTGCCGCTCTCAGCTGGCCTTCCTAGTATACACAGTATGTATCCCACGGGCCTGCCTGACCCTGATGACGAGAGAACGTAGTGAGCAAAGTTCAAGTTACTCTGATAAAACTATTCACAATGGTAGACTGCTCTTACTCATTAATACTTGTGAGGACTAGCTGTCTTCATGTGGTAACAGGGAAGATTATATCAACAGGATTATTTATGGAATGCTGAACTATAAATAAACTAGATTTCTCACATTTCCTACCAGGCTGTGACATGTAGAGATCAGCGGCTGCTAATATTGTTGTATTTTGTGAAGAGGGAAGCGTGACAAAACCAACTATAAATTTTAGTATGTGCCCAGAGCTTGTACTTTGGCAGCCTTTGGAACCAAACACAGAGGGACAATGTGTTCCCACATTTCACAAAGCTTTCATAAGTTGCCCAGAGTGGAAACACAGCTAGATGTTATAACATGTCTGCTGTGAGTGCAGTTTCCTACTACTCATAGACAGAGGTGGAAGAGGTACTCAGATCCTTTACTTAAGTAAAAGTGGAAATACTATGTTCTTAAAATACTCCATTACAAGTACAAATCTTGAATGCTAAATGTTACTTACGTACAGAAGAATTATCAGCTAAATGTACTTAAAGTATCAAACGTAAAAATATTCAACATGCACAATTACTGCTCTCACAATATTATATTTGTATAACATATACATGTCAGGGCATTTAATGTAGCAGTTTGTCATTGTGAAGCCAATTTTAGATACTTAAAATACTGGGTTGTATTTTTGTATATTTGCAGGACAGTATTGCATCATATTATAGAAGGAAATCACATGTTTTCTATGTAAAAAGTAGCTAGTAACTATAGTGTTTACCAGAACTCCTTCCATTGATCATATCACTCCGGTTCTTCAACAACTCCATTGGCTCCCCGTTAAATAGTGCATCGATTTCAACATGTTGCTCCTCACCTTCAAGGCCCTTCACACTCTTGCACCTCCATATCTCTCTGAACTCCTTCACATTTACGCTTCCTCTCGTGCCCTCCGATCCTCCTCTGCCTTCCAACTCACTGTACCTTCTGCCCGCCTGACCACCATGGGGTCAAGAGCCTTCAGCCACTCTGCCCCCCGTCTCTGGAACTCTCTCCCACAAGACATCCGCAATATGGACTCACTCTCAACCTTCAAATCCTGCCTGAAAACCCACCTTTTTAAACTGGCATATTCAATATCTTAATTCTTCTAAACTGATTGTTGTTTTAATTCTTGAATTACTGTTTGATCTTCTTTGTTGCTTGTTTTTAATTATGCTCTGTAAGGTGTCCCTGAGAGCTTTGAAAGGCGCCCATAAATAAAATGCATTATTATTATTGGTGTTAAATACATTGAGTGTACAATATAGGAAATTGGAAATACTCAAGTAAAGTACAATTACGCCAAACTAATACTTAAGAATGTTACTTGAGTAAATGTACTTTGTTACTTTCCATCACTGGTCATAGAAAGCTAAAAATTAGGTATTAGATCAAGATGTGTTCAACTTACACAGCAACTGGAACCCAGGGAACAAGTGACACTACATCTTGTTCAATTCATTTGTTTGCCATATTAAAAAACATATATATTATAAAACACATGATACTTTATCTATGGCATACTGTATGTATAAAGTCATCTTCTAAAGGATCAAGGCAAGTTAAATTATGCGTTAATAAAATGGAAAATAACTTCTGTAAAAGGTATCAAATGTTCATGCCAGGTTAAAATGGCACAATAAACTGTAAACAGTATCCCAAATGTAGGCCTTCAGTGTGTTGTGGTAAATCTTGAGGTTAAATTATGGAGTAGAATCTGTTGTGCAACCTCTTGCAAACGTCAGTGCGGTTTTTCCTTTGACTCATAAAACCTGACTGCATGGTAATTTACGGGAATATTCCTTCCTACACAAGTAACAACTTCTTGGGAATCTTACATGTTTCTCTTTCACTCTTTTTCATCTGAATGAGTATGGAATCAAAAAATGTTGATTTTACAGATTCATATCAAGATCAAAGCATTGACATAAGGAACCGTCTCATAACCGGTTTAAGCACAAAGGAACCAGGAGTGACTATACAGGAATGTTTCACCTGTAAGCTCAATGACCTGGAACAAGGGGTGTGGCTATCCTGGTCAGAGAGGGCGGGAGTATTGCCTTGCTGTTCCACCTCTCACTTCCTGAAGTGAACACTGCCCAAATATGTGGCACAAACAGAGAATAACTTGTTGTTTGACACACCGGACCAGGAAATATTATCCTACTGCCAAGGTAAGACTGATAAAATGGCATGTTCTTTTTCAATGTTGTCAAATTTGTTAAATTGAAGGAAGACACTTCACACTCAGTTTACATGAGGTGTCAATTGAGGCAGAAGAGTTTAGTCACAGAAAGATTTCTGCATGTTTCAGTTTTTCTGACAAACACAGTGGCATTGGTTGAGATTTATCACAGTGGGTGGGGCTAGAAAACAGGTAATCAGCCTCCAAAGGAACTAAATGGCACAAACAATGTCTTTTAAGATGTTTTTTTTACTCATCCATAACATTTTAAAGATAGTAGATAAGCAAAATACCTCTTGCCTTCGCTTCAGTCCAGTTAGATTTACCTCTAGAGCAAAACTACAGGATGTGGAGAAAAACACCAAGTTTTAGAGAACCATCTGAAGGGTCTTCTTGTGTTGTGATGCCTGTTGTGTGTGTGTCCATGTGATTTGCTGGTGATTATATTGTGGGCCAAATAATGCCTGACTGGTGTGCTTTCATGTGATGGTCTACAGAATATTTGCTGGTGTGAAGCATGTTCCTGTGGCAATATCTGCTCACGCTGCTCCTACTGATAACTGTTCAAATATGCAAAGGTAAGCCAATAAGCAAACACTGCAATGTATGAAATGCAACACTTTTGTCAGTAAGTTTAAGTTCAGTAAACATTTCAGGAACTGAAGGAAAACTAACACATACTTTGTGGTTTACACACAGGGGCACTGTCAGCTGGTGTATGCAGCCATGCATCATGGTGTTCGGTGTATGTAGAAAAGCCACAACTATTGTGTAACATTTACTGAGAACATATGATGACGCTTACCAAACATAAAGCTACTTTTCCATCCGAGTTGAATTCAATATACTGTCAGTGATCCAGCATCAAGCAAGACATCAACTCAATCTAAATGTCACTACCAGTTCACATAATGTATCTACTTGGCAGTCTGTTTGTAGACATGTTTTTTTAAGCTTTAATTATTGTTTAGCTCAATAGTTATCATTATATAGTATAGTATTACATAGTTTGATTGGTACATTTGTAATGTCTATGGTCTTTTTCACTTTCCACATTTTTCTTTGTTGGAATGTAATAAATAGTTTTAGCACTTTGCTTATATTCTTGTTAAATGGGTCCACAATCCCTGGCAAAGTGTATTAGCAGTATAGTTTCACTCATACCTCCCGTGAATCTGTGTTAGAAAACAATCTAAAGAAGCATTAAATACTCCCACACTGACTCATGTAGCGGGCTGTGTCGCTGATGCCAGGGACTTTCGGTGGTCAGTTACTAAATATAAAACGGTTTCTTGGAAACTAGCATGCCTCATTTGTTCCTTTTTGCCATCCTCGCCTACCTAAATAAAAATGTCTGTGCTCTGTCTTTTTTATTCTTCACTATCACTCCCAGCTCAGAGATGTGAAGAATTTACACATCTGAATTTCCGTCACGCATTTATCGGAACCAACCTCAAAGTCCGGTTGCTGCTGTCCACCAGGGAAAATGTCACCTGTGCTGCACTTGTGTCCCACGCCAACTTCTCCTCACATCCCCAGTTCAACCTGTCCAGAACAACCGCCTTCATCATTCACGGGTACCGGCCCACGGGGTCTCCACCGGCGTGGGCACAGAAGTTCTCAGACATGCTTCTGGCCAGGGAAGACATGAATGTCATAGTGGTGGACTGGAACCACGGAGCTGCTAATGTCAATTATTTCAAGGCAGTGGAGAACACATACAAGGCAGCTGACAACCTCACTGCTTTTATTAAAATTATGCAGGTATGAGATGCATCTGACATTACCTGTGACCATCTCTGCTGTGTTGTGAGTAACAAGACTAACCATGGATATTTTTCAGGAAAATGGCGCCTCTCTGAATTCCATCTACTTGATCGGAGTCAGTCTTGGTGCTCATATCGCAGGCTTCGTAGGTGCTAACCTGAATGGGTCTATTGGAAGAATTACAGGTAAGAGTTTACAGATTCAAATACTTTTTTTTTGTTTCAGATTTCAATCACCCCTCAGATATTCGCGAGATGGCATGTGATGTGATCTGGGTGTTGACATTGCCATAACTCACTGTGAAACAGCACAATAGTGATAATAATCATTCAAAACCGTTATGCTAAAATCTCTGTTTCTTTTATTCACAATGACAAAACAGCTACACTATTTGTTTTCTTCCATTTAAACATACATGACAACTGTAGACAATTATATGTTGCATATTTTTAAGATCTATGTTAAAATGTACATCAGAAATCTCGCACATTGCCTCACACAGTTTGTTAAACTATGTAACATTTGAGCACCTTTCCTCTGCTGGACCACAGATGTCCAGCTCAGCACTGCTGCAAAGGAGTAGGGGGTATACAAAATTAAGAAAAAGAAAAGAAAAACTGGCCTGACTGGATATCTGGAGTTCAGGCATATAAAACAGAAACAGGACGTGGTGGTATCAACATACTTCTGTGTTACAATTAAAGATGTCTGGAAAAGAGAAACACTGGTCAGCATTTATTAGAAAATAATCAACACAGCAGAGGCAGTAGTGATGATTTAGAAAAAGGGAAAAGCTCTTAAATTAAGACATCTAAATCATTACTAAGCTATTTCTAGCCCTAGTCAGCTAATCTTGGTTTGAGAATAAACTTGAAGGTCTACTGTGTGCAGGTCTGGATGCAGCCGGGCCTCAGTTCATCGGCAATCCTCCAGAGAAACGACTGGACCCCACGGACGCACAATTTGTAGATGTCCTGCACACAGATATAGATGGTCAGTTAAACTGAAATACTATATATTATATTCACTCTATTGTTTGTCATACAAGTTGGTATTTTTCTCTTCACATCGTCTACAGGCCTGGGCTTCAGGGAACCTCTGGGTCACATTGACTTCTACGCTAACGGGGGATCAGATCAACCCGGCTGCCCAAAGACCATATTCTCTGGTAAGGGCTTTAAAATTATGGAGGTAGAAGAAAATAAAAACTATAAATGTATTATGTTTGAGTGAAGTAATGTTGATTTTAAAGGTCACCTATTATGCAAAATCCACCTTTTCATATAGTTTATCCATAAACATGTTTCCCCTCTGTGTAAAGAGATTCTGAAAGTTTCAGGAAAAAAGATTTGCTCTCTTTTTGTCCTGATCCATTTATATAAAAACCTGTCTGAAAATTAGCTGATCAGATTTTGGCCACTTTATGATGTCATAATTATTGTTTGGCTTGTGTAACCATTAGCCAATAACCAACCATGGTAACACCCCCTTGATGAAAAATCCCCTTTGATGAAAAACAGTATAATAGGGGACCTTTAACATGCCTCATGAGGCTTTCTATCATGGTTACAATTCTGACTTACTGTGCAGGATCGTCCTATTTTAAATGCGACCACCAGAGATCAGTGATGCTCTTCCTTGATTCTTTGGATCGGACGTGTACCAGCCGGGTCTTCCCCTGCTCCTCCAACAAAGACTTTCTGAATGGAAACTGCTTGAACTGTGAGGGCTTTGGTGCTGAAGGATGTCCTGTCTTCGGTTGGTGCTTTAATTATCTCTAACTAATAAAGTACACATATTTATGCTAGAATGGGTACTGGGAATGGAAGTCAGTGAGACATAAAATGAGTCATTCCTGAAGCAACATATATTCAGAACTAGTGTTTTTGAGTAAAAAGTAATTGGATGTTCTTTTAAAAAAAAGGATGTGAGCTGACGCAGCTGTTTCACTCAAATGCAGGTTATGATGTCACAAAGTGGAGAGATGTCCTGCTGAAGCTGGGCCAAACTAAAACTTACTTCAACACAAATAAAGTATCTCCGTACTGCAGTAAGTAACAAAACACTCATAATCACAATCGTAACAGAGACAGAAACATATATATATGTAATATTATACTCACTTACTTACTTTAATAATATCATTGTGTGATTCTTATTTGCTAACTAAGCTTGGGAAAATCCCTTATTAAGAACATTTGTTGCAGTGTTGTTAGTTACACTCCATGTGCACCAACAGTATGACCTTCAACTCAGGTGAACTGAGGACATCCTGATATGGCCTCCCTAACAATCCTTTCATTATCACCAAGCTTTACCCCTCCCTTTCTCCTCTCTCTGTGTTTAAATATGCAACCCAAACTGTATTCTTCGTCTTTCACAAATACGACAAAGACACAGTGCAATGGTTTGATTCTCTATTCACATTTGATAAATACATTCCCAACCCCAATATAGCAGGACCCTAAAACCCCGATGTGGTAATTTAATACAGCAACTTCCATATTGACATGTATTAGAAATGTTTAGGGATTTACATTAAAGTGCATAGGCTACCATTATTTTGTTAAATGATATAGGAACGTCCAGTCTTTGAACTGTTTGTCTGCAAACTTGATAATTTGTGAATTTATCCTATATGAACTACAAGATAAATGTTATCGTCATCCGTATTTTCTTCACGCTGGATATGCAGCAACATATTTCCATCAGTTCAGAGAATATCTTTCATAACGTTTAACCTGTATGTGAGTTTTTCCATTATTAGAATATCCCCGGTAATGTTCAGCCATCGTCTGTAGTCTGGTGCATCAAGCTTAAACCAGTTCTTATTGACAGTTATCAAGGCGCTTTTTTTATCCACTGTGGATAATTAGTTTGAGGTTCAACAGAATCGAAAATTACAGAAAATTGACAGTACATTTTTCAAAATTGAAATTGATTTTCAATTTAATCCAACTGTTTGGCGTTATTTATTATATTTTGGCCAACGAGTAGACGTTATAAGAGGAAGTATCATTTAATGTCAAAATGGTGAACGGATTGATTTGTAATAAGAAATGTAATCTCCTAGCAACAAGCTACACGGTGGAAGTGATGATTTGGAACCAGGACGTCCACTGGGGATACATCACTGTTAAACTCCATGGTAACGGTAAAGAAACGGTGGCAACCATTAACCAGTAAGTCCTCACTTCATGTATCATAACTTCTGTAACAAAGATTCCCCAAACATCTCTCTTCCACTCTGTTAATGGTTTGGTAACCTCTTCATTTTTTCATATATTAGCAGAGCATCCCAGTTCCAGAAGTTCACAGAGACCAAGTTGTTTGCCCAGTTTGACAAAGACCTTCAGTCAGTGAAGAAAATATCTCTCAAATTCTCCACTGGGAACTTGTTGAAGCCCAATTATAAGCTCCGGGTTCTCCGAATCCGTCTCACACACCTGGAACGCAAGGAGAGGTATGCAACACACATACTAAATGTTATCAATGTCTAAGGATTTGTATCTATTTGACATTGAATTTGAAGACGTTCAGTAACATTAACGTGGTCCTTCACAGTCTCTGTCGATATGATGTTATTCTCGAGGAAAACAAAGAGGTCAACTTCAGGCCAATTCCATGTGAAGACTCCAACTTCTGAGACCACCTTGTAAATAAATATCAAACTAAGCTCGTACTGGAAGCGATTCAGCCGACTCATCAGTCTCTCCAGGATTGTAAGGAAAACAAAAGAGCTGACATAGATAGTACTCACCTGGCTGTGATGTGATCATTTGTGATCTTAAACACATTTTTGATATTATGTGTTTTTAAGAGATAATGTATGTTTTTTTTACACTTTCCCCAATAGGGAATTATTTGCATCACACTGTGAGAATGAGATTTTTTTTATGTATTTGAAATTGAAGGAATCTCATAATGATGACAGCTTTATATATACCATGTCAATATTGGACTTTGTGAAACGAAATCTAGGTTGGTTTTAAAGATAGTTTTTATTTGTTCTTGGTTCTTCTTGGTTTCAAGTGTGTTGTTTGATCACATAAGTTATGACATTTATTTTTAGAAAGACAGTGAGACAGACCAATATTAGTACTTTATACGATCACACATTTCTAAGTAACTAAGTATTAACAATAATTGTCATAAAACAAAACCATGGTTTCGTGATTTTCTTACCATAAAAAGTACTGGGCTACTTTTCCAGATTATGTATTCATTAATCAAATGTGTATTTTTTTTTTTAAATGAATGACTTCACTAGTAAGTATATATTTATTTGTGTTTTTTAGTCACTTTTAATAAATTGTCAAGTTAACATGTTTATTGAATTCACAAATACAAAACACTATTCAATGACTTCAGTCAAAAGTTATTTATTAAATTACATGCACCTTATATACAATAGAAGCTTTGTGTTTGTGTCTCCTTCACATTTTATAAGATATATTTAATGTACTACTGGCACTCATTTTATTTTCCCCTCTCTGTTTCTCTGTTTTCCACACGGTTGTAACATAAACAATATTGCAACACTTTCAGGCCAATAGTCCACAGTCATAGGAGACACATTGCTTTACCTCAACACACTCTAGTCATTAAAGAAGTAAATAAATCAAACTGAGTGTATCCCAGGGCCGTGCACTGCTCATTTCCAGAGATATAATAACAGACACTCCTCTCACCTCAAGTCTGCTCTCAATGTGAACTTTAGGCAATTACTCAAAAACATTCAGTCCTTCAGGCCAGTTCAACAAAAAAGTTGGTCAAATGACCACCGAAGAGAAATAATACAAAAACAATAATAATATTTTTCAACAAAAAAGAGCAAGGAGTTTTTCAAACTTAGAAAAATATCATTTATCAGATTTGAGGGACCTTTATAACTCGTCTTTGATGAAGGTGAAGTTCTCCGCTCATTTAGACATGTGCTTCTTCATACGTTGCATTTCCATCTGAAACAAGACAAAACTAAATCAATCCATGAGTGCAGTTGCAAGAAAATATAATATAATATTGTCACCTTAACGTTTTTCTGCATTTTCTACACATTGTATGTATCTTTTACATTTTTGTAATGCTGCACCTGTATAGTCAAGCGAATCCTCTTCTCTTCATCGAGCTCGCTCATTAGCAGTTTAATTTCATTGCTGGAACACAAGATATTGTCCGATTAGTGCAGCAAAAACAAACACAGACAGTAGGCCTAATGCAGGGTCTCAACCCACCCGGAAGAAACTGGGCAGGTAAATAAAAGATCTGATAAAAAGCTTTACTTGTGCTGTCTCTTCATCTGATGAAACTGGTCCCTCAGCTCTCTCAGCTCGCTCTGCACTTGCTCCAGGCTCGCTGGACTTCTGCTCTGCTGGGGGTCGGAGCTACGGCCCGTCGGATAGAGCACAGCAGAGAGAGCCTTTGGTAACAGGGAGGTGAAGGACTGGGTAGACACACTTGTGGGTGCTGCTGCCTGTGGAAAATAACCCATCATCACTGGCTTACAACATGAAACAAATCTGAAATATACATTTCAAGTGCCTAGCCTTTTCTTTTACACTTACAGGCAGGGAAGGCCCATTTTGGCTCATTTCCTGAGAGTTTTCTTGAAGTGATGAAGAATCAATTTCTTGGCTCTGCTTTTGTTTTTCTTCCTCCTCCATCATGAGTGCTACCTGTAAATGTAGTTTAGTTTGAGATATCTGATAAATAAAGGACATTTTAAGAGTAGTTCACACAATGTCAGTATGCAAAAGAAGTCAAATCCAAGTACATTTCTAAGAAATTATTACATTTTAATTTAGTTTTGAATAAATAGTTAAAGGGGTCCCTATTATGCTCTTTTTCAGGTTCACGTGTGTGTTTTGTGCCTCTACTGTGAGATATTTACATGCTCAAATGTTCAAAAAGCTCTTTATTTTTCTCATACTGCCTGTGCTGCAGCACCTCTTTTCACCCTCCGTCTGAAACCAGAGCCCAGTCTGCTCTGATTAGTTAGCTGGCCGGCTCTGCTGTGATTGGTCAACCGCTCAGAGATGTCCAGCCCCTTAGCCTACTTAGTGTTAGAGCGCTAGCTAATAGCAGCACGAACCACCAGCAAACCACCAATCACAATCATTCTTGATCAGATCACAGCAGGCCCCGCCCCGCTAGTTTGCAGACCATCAAAACACCGGTAAAATATTAGCAAGGCACAGGAGGACAATACCTGCGAGAATGAAGATGTCACAGAAGTAAACAAAGTGTATGAGAGAGAAACTCCCTCTGGAGGGAACTTTGGGATTTTAGCCTTTGTAGACCATTTACATGCACAACAACCTGTATCATACACTACAAGAACAAAGAAAAGAAAAAAAAGCATAATAGGGCCTCTTTAAGGTATCTTTCACTGCAGTGCATGACTGAGTGTGTGAGGCAGCTCAGAAAAGTTAAATTTATCCCAAGGACAGATGGGACACAGACACAGCAGACCAAACACTTCCTTACAGTGAGCCAAGTTATGGTAACTGTATAATACAACTATTCTGGATAAATATCATTAAATGGTATACTTCCCAGAGTCTGAAGCTCTGACTGTAAGCTAAGCTCATATCTGCAGCTACCTGCTCATTCAGCCTCTCTGCCATCGACACCACCGAGTCAAACTCTTCCGTGACTTTGAGAGAAACAGAAAATAAATGTTACAAAGAGTGGTATATGGAGAATGTGTCATTCAAAGCCTGCATTAACATGGAGCAGTCAAGCATGGTAGTGTTTCAAAGTATGTCGCAACAGATGGTTGTAACAATAAGAGTTGCAAGTCTTACCAGGAATGAGGGCAGAGCTATAGTTGCCCATCGTGACAGAGAGGAATACAAGTGCAAGAGTCTTTAAGTCTACATCTACAAATGACAGATTGGAGCAAGTCAGTAGAGAAAACATTCACAGAAACTCAATGCATTCTCATATCATGCTAAGAAATTGAAATTCATTAGAACAAAAAAGTAATTCCATTTGTTAAAATATAATCAATTCATAAAAGAAATTTCAGTTGAATCATTAATCTGAGTTCTAAGTAAGGGACACTAAACATGGGTTCACTGATGGCCGCTGTCTCTCTCTCTCTCTCTCATGCCACAGCAGGCAACACATGCTGGAACCAACGCACAGAGGACCAGTGACAGGTTATACTGTACATTTATTAGTTAACAAAGTAAACAAATTACCAGATTATTGTCACAGCCAAGGATCTGGGGCACACACTCACCTTGTTTGGCCGGCGACAGTGGTGAGATACAGCAGCACCTGTGGTAACGCGACACCGTCCATTGTAACCCAGTGCTGTGAACAGTCTGTTGTGATGAGGAGGGCTACTGTCAGACGGCTAAGTTTAGCTGCACTCTGCTCACAAATATCACCGGGGCAGAGCGAAGGGCAAGGGGTGTGTTTAAAGGGACCAACTGGTGCGCAGTTATACAATATGTAATGTTTACACTGGGCAGGAGGACTGCTTTTATTCATTGTGAGCCTCAGGAAGTGTTTTAATTTCCAAACACCACTGATTTAGACATCACGAGGAGCCTCAAGCAGTGAATAGTTGTAAGCTATCTGAGTCTCTGGAGTTTTAGAAAGCAAGGGGAGCTAATGATATAAACAATTGAATTGCACCATGGGAGATTTTAGACCCATTGTTTTGGAGCTTGGCCGATAAAGGGGATTAAAGTCGATTTATTTCAGTCCCCTAACCATCCTGAAAACATTTTACATTTAATTATAATTTATATCAATAACCATTCAAACCGTGTAGACACTATATAATGAGATTTATATGCTATTCTATCGACGATTTCAGTGCTAAAACAGAGGTTAAGAAAGCTATCTTGTAGATAAGATTACAATTCTTAAAAATATCATTATTGTTGACAGGAAGTCTGTTAGTCCGAATCTAAAATGAAATACTGCCTCGTGGTTGTATTCCCCGGACCAGTCAAGTAAATCGATGTCATCACTTTTGGTTTTAATCCTTACAGACATTTGTTTTGAAGTTGCCATAATTAGCAAGTTAATACTCAAGATAATTACTAAATGAACATGATATGCAAGGTCGCAGTGACCTTTCACCACCAAAATGTAATCAGTTGATCCTTGGCATTTGTGCAACATTTTTAGAAATTTTCCCAGATAGGTGACAACGACAATAGGATGCACCGACAACCTGACAGACATACTGCCTCTGAACACAGAGGTCACCGGCATGGAGGCATTGAAAAAAAGAAACCTTAAACAGAGATTGGTAAATTGGACTTTATTTCATGTGATTATACAAGCTTTACATGTAGTAGCTGAATGCCCTTTGACAGGCTGTTGTTTTCTAATCCAAACACACATGATTAATCAAACAGGACATGTGATACATCTTTACAAACAGTAGGTGACATTTTAAAGTACATCTTTAATGGACTTCACAAACCTGAAATCGAACGCTGCTGCTGGTAAACAAAACAAAAAACTATTCTAATAAAAGGATGACTGCCACGATCACAAGCAGCAACTCCCAAATTATTATACACGACTAGAAAAAGCAGAACCGTTTAATATATTGGCATATGTTACAAATACCCTAAAACAAAAAGTACCTTAAAGATGCCACTGAAACCCTTACACCAGTGAACATCTGGAAGTAACATCTCTTCCACAATATACAGGCAGGTTGGGATCGTAGTCGGGAAGGTTTGTGCTGCCCAACCAGCGGAGAAGGTCTCCAGATGTTTCTGCTGTCATGTCTGAAGACTGTGGGACCTGTGCTGGGGTCAAGAGAAACATAAAGTTAATATCATATTTATTGTTCTTGATTGGGGCTGAATATCAATAATGTGATAGGAGACTAAATATTGTCTTAGATTTTGAATATCCTTAGTGCCTTTTTTGGAATTAAACGTTGCATTACGGTAAATTGATGTTGATTTAACCAGAGTTGTAGCTGTTCCAATACATTCCTGCACTTGAACTTTATCTGCATATTGAAGTGTGAATGCTTGCTGTTTGTATGTTTTATGTCTCTTGTTGGTATTTTGTATTTTTGATGGCACCTTAAAAAAAAGGAGTAGCTCTACTCATCTCATTGTACCTGTACAAGGACAATAAAGGATTATATTCTTTGCCTTGACCAAATAAGGTCCTTCATTCTTGCCGCGGAGAATAAACAGAAGGGCAACCATGCGAGGGAAGTCTTCTTCGCTGCTTTTGGTGTATTTTGTGGCAGAAGTACAGCGCCACTTACAGGCCCGGCATATGTACTACAGCGTCTCCAGCGCTTTCGAGCAGTCTCGTGTGAACGGACACGTTTCTGGTGCCTATTGCGTGTGGCACCAGAAGGGATGTTACGATTCACCGATTCGCATCGGTGCACCGACATAAACTTTCAAGATGCAAGTGCACCGGTTGAAAGAGTGCCCATCGGCTACAGCTTGGTTGAACTCGCGCGCTAAATCATTGTAGTGTCTTTGCATCGGTAAAAACGATTTCATATAATATCCCCTCATCCTGTCAGCACTCCGCAGAGGAAATCTTTGATCTTTGCACTACGGATGCTGCGAGTCTCAGTTAACACACATGGAAGTCGAGGAGAAAGAGAAACACAGCGTGCCGAAAAATACCTACAAATCAAACGTTTGGCAACACTTCGGATTTTTCAAGACGGTCAACTTGAAAAATCGCTCGCAAATTGTTAACGATGCCGTGCCACTTTAAAGTACACAAGAAGTATGAGGAACTTAGCGACGCCCATAAAGAGGCGACATGGGGTCTGCGGCTGAAAAGAGAAACCTGAAAGCTAGACATATGAGTTCAATCTGTCGTGGATATTTTAAACTTGTCAATACTGTAAAGATGTACAATGAGAGTAATCAATAATAAACTGGTGAAAGCAGGCAGCGTTGTCTTTCGTTGGTTCTTTATTTGAAGCGCTTCAAAAGGTACATGTCTCACAGAGTACAGAGTAGTCTGCAGGAGTGCACACAGGGTATAATGTGTGTGTGTGTTTTATACAGGACTGTTGCTGTGCAGGAAGTAAAAGAGATAAGACTTTCCTTAGAAAACTGTTATCTTACAATGCTCTCATAGGGAGAGCCACATCCTTCAGGTACGACCTTGGCAGGAAGCAACAGGTCGAGTTGACCAAACAGTTTCTAAGCATAATATCATCATTTGGTTTTACCATATAAAGTAATATAAGAAATTGTCACTACAAATCACTCAGTGAGGTGTTCTGTCAGAGAGAGTGGTGTTTAGTTTACAGCAGCCTGTGACTGCCAATAATAGTTTACATGTCTTCCTTACAATTGTAAGCAGTTATGAAATACCTGTTTGTGAAAGGTTATTTGTATTTTTTGTATTGTTCATAGAGAAACCACTGCTTTCTGCTCACTGGTGAGTTAGCCTATGAATGAGTGTTAAGCTCATCAGGCTGGCAGTTGTATGGGCATTGCATGGTAGTTGTTATTTGCACATTGTTAATCATGGGCAATGCATCCTTAAATTGTTTAACTGAGGTGTTATGCAACCGTACTGTACTCTGAGAGGTTTTTAAGGTGAAAAAGAAACAGCATAACAGGATGTGCAGTACTAGTAGAGAGAACCAAATATGTAAAGCATTTTTTGTTAATGTATGATTTGCTTAATATAAGGAATAAAACAAAAATCCTCTGTCGTACCATATTGAAGTATTATTATTTTGCATCGTGTTGAATCGCATCCCATAATGTTGAATCAAATCGTATCGAACTGTATCGCAACAGGGGTGAATCGTATCGTATCGCATCGCCTGGTGTTTCAAATGTATCGTTAATGTATCGTATCGTGGCAACGTATCGAGATGCGCATCGCATCGGCCTCAGTGATGGAGATGCACATCCCCAGTGTGGACGGAAGACTTTTTTGATATCGAATTCAATTGGTTTGCGTTACCGTTCTCTTGTGGCTCCAGTCCTGAAATACAAATGCTCATTTGCAATGGTCACTTATGTGCCATTAACAATTCCTTACTTTATAATTTATATACAATCTGTTGCATTTTCCATCTCCTACATTACTTCAAACTATAATAATAATAATAATAAATATTATTTTCTTAACACCGCTTCTTTATTTTTACCATGCTGTACTTATTAGTTTTTTGCTTGTTTATATTTTTCTAAATAACGTGTGCTTGCCTTCAAGTCTACTCTTCTGCCTTTAACCTGCTAGTTGATATTGTATGGCTGTAATTTTCCTGCTGCGGGACAAAAACAAGGGGTTTCTGATTGTGATTATAAAGGATAGCCTTAAATCGATAAATTCACATTTCTGATTAATATGTATCCAAATTCTTTAATGTGTAAATACTTTGAGAAAACCTCAATCAATCAGTGTTCAGGCTTACCAAAACATTGTGAATTTATTCATATGGACCTGCCTTGTTCTAGACCACATATGTCAAACTCAAGGCCCGGGGGCCAAATCCGGCACGTGGTAGAGTTAATTTCAGCCCGCAGGATAATTTATAATTACCATTAAATACATACATATAAATCAATAATTATTTACAGCAAGAACATTCCAAACACAGCTGGCACATAAAGTACTGAAAACAAATCAAATGTTAGAATGAAGATTGACAGGTTTACACTAGATGGTAAATTAAAACCGCCATGAAGCCCCGTCAGAGCCACACACAAAATAAAAACTCACCACAGGTTGTCACCAGCGCTGGTTGGGCCCCCGGTTGTACGGCGCTCGCTGACGCATCACTCTCATGGTGCGGTATTTGGACATGATGCTGTAACTTTTTCTGAACACTGGCCTCTGATTGGGGAAGGGACGTGTCACTAAGCTCTCCTTAAAAAACACAAAACATTCAAACATCAGTTATAAGAGAAACTAAAGGAATCAATGATGGCATTACATTTTTTCTAGAAGAATCTAGCGATGACTGAAGGCGGTATGCGTACCATGAGCGGTCTTCTAAAATGTCCAGACATTTCAAGGCCCCCCCTCCCTCGACCACCAGTGAACCTTGGTCTCTATGAAACAGATTTAAAAGGCCGAGTTAATACAGTAGGTTTATAACCACTTTAATTTATTTTACATGTTAATCACATCATTTTCCAGTAGTCAAACAAACTTAACTTCATATATCTGCCATAACAAGGCAGCTGACAAACTTCAGTGGATATTCACAAATAACCAATTGCTCAGCTTCAATCATTGATGCTAATACACGTCCTCCAAAATATAGTTTTCAATAACCGAGTGTAGATTTTCCTGCTACCACATAGGGTGAATAAAAAATGTTTTAAGAACATGATATAGCTTCAAACCTCTGACAGCTCAGTCCATTTCATTTAGTCATATTTGAGCTTTCAAAACACTTTAAAACATCTCAAAGTTGTGACTCAGCACTCACTGTAATGTATATATTTGAGTGACCAAATGTACTGCTATTTACTGCAAATGTTTAGCCCACCTGCATAGGTCCAGGTCCGGGTCCTTGTCTTGGCCCGGGTCCTGGTCTCCTGAAGGGCCTCCCAGATCTGTGGTTGTCATGCATCATATGAAATGGCCTGCAGAGTATAAGGTAACGTCAGACACAGGATCTCGTCTGCAATGCTTTCATATTTCGACAATTCGAAACCACTGCAGGACCTTTTGAATTAGGACCTTGTTTGAAGACTGAAAAATGTTATGCAATGTACCTGAATGGTCTCTTATCCACAAAGCCTCGTTTTCGGTCTTCAGGCGATGATCTGGAATCATTCGACTTTGAGGCTTGGCTGTTCGGGGAGGCGTCTTGATCTGGACTGCGCTCTACAAAAAAAAGAAAAGATTAAACTGAGATAATGGGAGCTTAAGCTGATTGTTTGATTAGAGTTAGATAAGATAATAGGGGTCAACATTCTCTGCCATACTTACCAGAAAAAGTAAATTGAACATGCTAAACTTGCAATTTTAAAGTTATACAAAAATAGAAAATCCCGCGGTCAAATTAGTTTAAAACTGGCGTTTACTTTTTTTTTTTTAAACCACACAATAGTGCTTGACACAACCTTGATTTGGTGTTATACAATTACTGTTGATCGGTAGCAATATATTGGTCCTTTTGTAAAAAAATACGTTTTAAATAAATATTTAAAAAACTGTATTGTTGTTTTTGTACGATAATCTTACAAAATACAAATATTGGACTTTACATTAATCCGTTTTGAAATTAAATTTGATATTGGAACATTTTGTATAAGTTATCATCCCCTGTATTGGACATTTTGTATAAGTTATCAATCCCCTTTGTATTATATAGACATATATATATATATGTATTATATATATATATATATATATATATATCCCCTGTCCCTGCAATGCACAAGGAAATGACCAATTACCTTTCTTTGGGCTGCGATCTTTCGTTGGCGAGCCGTCCTTCGAGGAGGAGTCCCAGTGGGACAGAACAACAAGGTCACGTTTCTCTATGGGAGAAGATCTGTGGACAGATCGGTGGAGACTGCGTTAATCTCTCATGTGAGGCTTTTGGCAGAGTAAGAACATATGAAATGTGGCCTGGTAATATTAGCATCACTTCATTCAAGTTATCAGACAGGTTTCAAGTTAAGTTAAATCACCCTGTCGAATCTCAGCAGTAATGCATTTTAAACCAGTAATGGACAGCACTGTTTTGCAGGCAGAACATTGATCATAAAGCCACGCATCACATGGGTACTTACAAAAAACATGGAATGTCCATGCTCCTTTATTTTTGAACCCTGAATCAATCTGAGCACTCTTCGTTTACTCGGTGATTGTTAGAGCGGGCAAATCTTGGGAGACAACTTTTAGATATGGTCTACGTCACAAAATCATCCATCTCTCAGAAGCACGGCAGGACAATAGCTGGTTTAGTCGGACTGAACTTCAGACTGTTTTGTCATCGGGTATTTTCTTGTTCCTTTAGTTGCCTTGAACTTTTTTTACGACTTTTTGTCTCGAAGACAATCCTTTTTTCCGAGTGACTGACTGACTACATCCAGAGCGATAATTGTGTCTGCTTAGCAGCTTATCTTCTTCTCCAAAGCTGTGCCGTGACTTTAAGAGATGATCCAGCGTTCGTCTGCCGGGAAGAAGTCCAGGTTTCATAGCAAACTGGCAAAATGTCTTGCAGTGCCGACAAGTGAGACTTCATTTCCTAATACATCTTCAACTGTTCATAACAATTAGGGCGTCGGACATGACTTCAAATAAGCCAAGCATTAAATAAAAATCGGTTTGGTTTTGCTGTAAAATACAGTAGGGATGCTTGCACTGTCTTCTTCATGTAATAATTTTTGAGTAAGGACATGGTGTCGAGAATTGATATTGAACATCTTTTGTATATCATACTGACAATGTCTTCAAATGTTGGTTCGGATTATTGACTTTCTGTGCAGAAGCCTCTGGCTGCATTTGGCTTGTAAATCAGCTACTTGACATTATGATTTCACCTCTGATTATTAGTGAGGTCACCTGTCAGACTAGTGCAGGAGCTGACCACCGAGCATGCCGACCTGTGGGTCCAGGTGCATTCAAAATTAAGATTATATCAAGCTGCTACCAAACTGGTCTTGCTTCTATCCTCAGTAAGGATCAAGCTGGCAACTCTTCATCATGTTTCATCAAAACCAATTGTAGGTCTGAATTTATTTTCCATTTCTCCTGTCGTTCGTAGAGCTTGATGTAGAGTCTTCTTTTGTCTTCTTCTGGCCTTTGATAATGCTATATAAGGCCTGTTTCACTGCAGGGCGTTGTAAATATGATATTAATAGAGGTGACAAAATAGTTGCTTTATGGTCACTGGTTTGACTTAAACACTCCTTAGGCATCAAGTTATTTCTTCAGCCATGACGTGGCTAATGCTTGGTGAATATCCAATGTGTCCTTCTCATGACTGCAGAGAAGCAAAGAATCCGGTACTTCCTATGGTCTGTGTGACATTGTCATTTTGCTTCTCTTCGTTCTGCTGAAAGGGAGCGAGGACCATCGTCAGGTGGTGCAGAATCGTGTATGAACTGAATTAGCCAATCCTTTGGGAATTAAATCGACTTTGCACACGTAGGTAGGAATCCTAAATATGGTAATTGCCGTGCTTCATCAATAACAAGAAGATCAATTGTTTAGTCTTCACTTCATTCTGGGTAATTTGATGTGCATAAAAATAGTTTCAGGCATATCAATAAGAGTTATGTTATCAGTAAAAATTATTTTTACGTGTAACTTTAACGGTGGCTAGTTGTGCCCTTCAACAGAAATTCCTCTTCTTTGATTTCTGGATTTTGCCATCACTGGTATTTAATCAGCCATCCTTCTTCAAATTCTTCCCTCTGATTATATTCGAAGTCAAAACAAGTGTAACAACTTGGAGCAGCTTGTTTGACGAAATCCCATGATCAAAAAGGCCAATTGACTCGTTACTTGGCTTTCTTCTGTTTAAGTTCTTGCGTAAACAGCCACCATTCGACATCAAACTCATCCGATGCATCTCTTTTTCTGCGGTCCACGACTGGCCGACATATTGCCAAATATTCTGAAGGGCAGCACGGCAATTTCCGTTTAGTTGATGTTAAGTGCAGTCCTTTTCATATCCTTATGTTCCATACACTGAAATACTGTTACTGTTGTAGCGTCAGCGCGTTTGTTGTGTTACGAGGAGCAGGAATGCTGAAGAGCTATTCTTTCGAGCGTAATGCTGACAGACTGAGGAATCCTTCAACAGCTCAGATCAACCAATCTTTCCCAGACTCCTCATCAAGGCCAATAAACATTTGTCAGGGGTTAAACAGGTTGGCTTTATCGATACAGTGCGTAACTTAGCACTTTCTCTTCAGCCCACTTCATTGGAAGATATTGAAACACAGGCAGCACGCAGACAGGGAGGCATTTGAAAACCGTTGCTGTTTTTTCATCAACTGAATCAGTGTTGCACATTTAGCTCATCTCCTTTTTCCACAGGCACATAGAGACATTCTTTCTTGACCTCTTAATCATCATCAAGCCCCTGCGAACAGTGCTAGAAGAAAAATACCGTACCTGTGTGTGTTCAAGGGCCGGCGTGACTCCACCTGTTCTTTTTCTGTATCAGAGTCTCTTGAAGACTTGCTGGTATCGCTATCTTCTCCGGGGGGTGACTGTTGTGGTTTTCCCCTCCTTTGTTCCAGCGTTTCATTTGATTGGAAACGCTTTTTTCTGATAGCAAGAACAGAGCTGAAGTTTTCCTGTGAGGAAGAATTGACTAGGCGAGGCCTTGTTTTCACAGATGGGGGGATTCTGAGCCTCATGAGAGACTCTGCTTTGACTTGTCTGCTCTTAACCAGGAAACTTCTATCCCTAAGTGACAGAGGTCTACCACCAAAGGGCCTGGGAATACTCAGCAGCTGAGGCCTCTCTCTCCTTGGGTGTTTGGGATGGCCATGCTCCAGTGCAGGGTCTTCGGAGGGCATGCTGATGTCTTCTATCCCCCTCTTGCGGGGTCCTGCCACTTGCCTCTCCTGAGGGTTCCTGTGGTAGGAGGATGACGGTGATGGACCTCCTTTCCATGAAGGGGATCTGAAAGGGGGCGGATGAGGGGCCTCCTGTGCCCGCTCTCTACTGTGGGATCTGCTGCCCTGCCTCTCCACTGGACCGCGCTGCCGCCTGGAGTCTTGCTCTGATGACCACCTGCACATCCATCAAACAATAGAGAAATCGTTACAATGATAGATCCATTTCCATATTAAGTGGGAGGTGTATCTTTTAACTTTTATCTTAAAGCAGCACCCTCGTTATGATAGAATGAAACAGGTAGGAGAAGTATATTTTCAAAGAGCAATTACAGATGTAACACTCCTCTCAATGGCAGGTGAAACCCAATTAACACCAAACCCCAATTAACAGACCCCTGTAATAATTATGAGTTGGGGCAGAGTAGAGGTAATCACTATGACGCCCAGAGACTGGGAGGACTGGGCCGTCTTCAGGCCTCCTTTTTAATATTTTTACCCAGCTGGGGTTGCTGCTTCGCTCCTGTACCTCTCTTGACATGGGCCTCTCCCATGCATCTCTCTGGGGTTTCTCTGTGACCCAGAGGGTCCGTGCTCTCCATTGTGTGGATGAGAAAAAGCTCCAGACTCGTTCCAGCGCTTCATGCCAGGACCCGAGTGCTCATGGGGCCTTTCTCTGGGATTGAAATTCCCACGAGGGTCTCGATTCCGCTGCTCTTGATGCTGAAAACCTGCCTGCCTTCTGTGGCCCCTGAATGACCCCTGGTGGGCAAACGCAGAGCCAGGCCTCCTGTCAGCTGGGTGGTTGCGAAAATGTCTCGGGGAGGGTGACCTGTGACCTGAGGGGTGGCCATGAAAAGGTGGACCCCTTTGACTCGGGGATCCCTGAGAAGGACTGCGAGAGGATGTCTGATGCTGGGCATGGGGGGAGCGGTTTGGCCTTGATGGAGAAGGCCTTCTCTGGCCATGATGTTGATCAATTTTGGGAGGGTATGATTGAAAGGAATCCTGATTTTGGGACTTCCAGTTGTTGAAACGTGGCTCCCTTTGCTCTCCCATCAGGGGGACTCTTCTGACAACGGGGGGTCGTCCTCTACCTCTGGAATCTTTCCAGTGAAAAGGGGCCTTAGACTGGTAGGGCTGGACATCCCTCCGACTTTTGGAGTTAGGGTTGTAATTCCCTTCACTGGTTCCAATGCCATGACCATCTCCGTATGGTCTGCTAGGATACAAAAAAAAAAGAAATGTGCAAAGTTAGACAAATAATACTATTTCTTTGAAAAAAAACTAGGGTGGGTATCTAGCTTAAATCTCTAAAACTAAAATGACAAAATATTTAACAGTCACTGACTTAAAGGTCAAGTATCTTCATGCACCTTGACATAATCAAAAAAGCATTACCTTGGCTTCAGACGTGGTGGTCCAAAATGTGGTCGAACCATTTTTGGAAGTGAGCAAATAATCTATAGACAAGAAGGAAAGAATATTGAGTTTTGACAGCCTAAAAAAAAAGATATAATGCAACAATCTTTTACCAGAATACAAAGCTGAAACAAGAACCTTGTAGTATCAAGCTGAGCCAGCTGAACATATGTTAGATAATTTAATAAATGTTTAACGAATGTTCAAATTGATTCAACTGATAAAGCGCAAGGTGACCCCGAACGAAAAGCAAAGAGGAAACGGGTAAAGTCTTGGGAGGCGAAAAATTCTGCTCTGTTGTCCATTCACTCTCCAACCTCTCAAAACATTTGCTACTGTCACATAAAATCAGAGTACATGAATGTACAGTCTTCAAGTCCGTCTTGTTAAACGTGTTTTTCATTTTTCTTTTTTGTACTAAAAGGTCGAAGTACCACAATTAATTTTAATATTCATTTGACATGTTAACTATATCATAAAGCGCTTCATGGGAGTAATTGCGGGATGATTCAATTGTTCCCTTATGCAACATGAAAGTATCACGATATGTATCGGTATCGTTCAGTGGTACCATAAAAAAGTCAACGATATGCATCCCTAATTGTCAATGTTTAAATGATGTTGAATAATACGTTACACTAAAATGTACTATGCGTAAAGTGTCATTTTGTAAAGGCTATATATTAAATACAATAATATTTAGATTTAAGCAGAATAATAGTATTCAAACTGCATTTACATTGCACTCAATCATATAAACAAAGGTTCAAAGGGCTTTCTAACGGTTTAACATTGCGAGATTCAACCTACAGAAATATGTAAACCATTAATCAGAGATAAAAGGCCAGTCACTTAACCTAATCAATACGATCACTGATAAATCACACTGTACTCCAGCTGTCTTCTTTCAACGAGACACGGTTTAATGCTTTTTTTGTAATATATATAAATTCACATAAACTAAAAATTGTTCTAAATCCAAAAGCTGATGATGCTGAAATGTGCCAATATGCACGATGAGTACTTTTACTTTCTAATATGTTGTTCTACTTTTACTTGAGTAACATTTGCAATGCAGGACTTTTACCTATAACAGAGTATTCCTGCACTCTGGTATTTCTACGTGTACTTAAGTACAAGATCCGAGTACTTCTTTCAACTCTGATTATCAGACGAAAGATCAAATTGGAAACTGTTACTGTACGACCTCGTTTAAAGAGATTGTACCGTTAAAAGTACATATTCCACACGATGACAGATAGAAACGGATAAAACAAAAGACTGCTTATTGAAAACAGCTTCAGGTTTGGGGTGACGATCTTTATATGGTCGCCGTGTTTCAGTTTCAACCCCCTTAGGTCCTGGTAAGTGCTATCGGCAGGTCGAATTACCATTTTTGGTATTTGTGGCTGGTCGTAAAAAAAAAACCGGCCCAGTCAATTCGTTATTTTTCTGGATATTAAAACCCCCTTCACTGTAGCAGTATGCTAAGGAGTATCGTTAGTAAGTAACGTTACATAATTGTTTAACAATGCTCTTAAGAATCAAAAAGATCTGTGGTTCGAAATAACGCGTACAGACTTATCTTGTTGCTAAGCCTGCTGCTAAGGCTAGTTAGCTTAGCCTGGGTGTTTTGCTACTCCGTCAGCCCGCTGCACGAAGCTCTCGGAAAGTGCCCTTCACATGGTTAGTCATTTCAACATTTTAGAGCTAGGCTGGACACAATTGTTCACCATACGTTACCTTTAACTGCCAATACGTGTAATTCTGAAGTTTAGCAAGACACTCACCAAAGACAGAAAGTGGATTAAATGAACGATCCGTGCTTCTGCGACACAGTTGAGCTGCTCTTCTTCGTCGCTCCGCCCTTGATTTATGTGTGTGCGCGTCAAACTGAAGCGCCACGTTCTGACTCGGAGTGGGTACTGCATATTTACAAAGACTGACACTCCAGTGTATGCACCTTTAACTCTTATTTGATCTATTCACTTTTTTAGTGGGAATGCTGTTAACAGCATTCCAACTAACTGTTATTCTACGGACGAAAAGTTTATTATTATTCCGCCGACTTATTTTGGCCCTCTTCTCCTCCCGCATTGAACATCGCAGAAACTCCGTTCAAACATCAAAACGTTCAGCTCGGTCGGGAATCGATGGCTATTACTTTTCTTCACATTTTAACATTAACTAGGGTGTGTGATGTCACAACTAGAGTGGAGGACAGCTTGAAATTTGCATTCAAATTTTTTTTTTTAAACTGCCATAATTCCCAAACCCCTACATTCCTGAGACATAATTTATCATGACAAACGTAGGAAAACATCTCGTAGCTTGAAAAATGACAAATAATTAAGCAAAAAATAATTAAACAAAATGCTTTTTGAGGGCATGAAGTGACAAAAACGTTCAACATTCCTCCATTAAACCCCACTGTAATTTCAGGCAGATATTTCCTCACGGTGGCAGCCGCACACCTTTAGTTAAACTGCCAAAAAGGCCACATTATTAACCCGAAACTACACAAAAATTACACGTCAGATACTCAACTTCCTTGACATGCTTCACGTTTTGAAATTTCACAGATATCTGTTATGGTTCTTCAACAAAACGTTTACATGTAAGAGGTAGCTCTCATTCAGAACAATGGACACCTTTGATCTCTACAGAGCTCATTAGCTCAACTATAAACACCTGTGTAATGGAACACAATGATGTCATCACTCCAACTGACATGCTCAGAGCAGCAGACTTCCGATAGCAGTGTGCTAACAGTCCAGCCGTGAAGGCATCGACGGGACAGTTTTGAGATTTCTTCAATGCCGTTGCCATGGCAACACAATGCTCGCCTTGAAACACGGTTTTCTCATAATTTCAGTGAAAATACTCCAAACAGCCTAGAACTTCACAGGTTTGGTAACGATGCAGCCATTAACGCATCCAAGCGTAGTATGGGGTGTAATCAAATGCCGTTGCCATGGCGACGGACCACTCTCCATGAAGCATGAAACACGATGTGGCTGTAAGTCCCATCGACACGGTCCAATCGTCCCCCAATCTTCACTTGTATATCACCGGTCCATGCCTCAACAGCTCTACGCCAATTCTGAGATCTCACCATATGCCGTTTCCATGGGAACCCATCCCAGTCGCCATAAAACATGATGTCGTTATAACTCCTATGAAAATGTTCAAAAAGTGCTCAATCTTCACATGTGTGCTAACAGTCCAGCCGTGAATACATCTACGGGAAAGTTTTGAGATTTCTTCAAATCCCGTTGCCATGGCAACACAATGCTCGCCTTGAAACACGGTTTTCCAAAAACTTCAGTGAAAATACTCGAACAGCCCAAAACTTCGCAGGTTTGGTAACAATGCAGCCATCAACGCATCTAAGCGTATTATGGGGTGTCATCAAATGCCGTTGCCATGGCGACAGATCATTCGCCATCAAGTTAGTTCAGAAGTTTGCAGTTCAAATATTCTGCTGCTTTTCCAAGCCTTTTTACTTTCTTTTCTTCTCTCATCACACATTCAAGCCCCCAGTGTTCATGTATCATTTTAATCTAAATTCTTCACTTTCTTCTTACACATTACATTTCAGCATAGCAGTTTAGCGTCAGATTTTCAGCATAAAGCATTCTCACTAGCACTTTCTTCAGGAATTGCATTCTCTAGTTAATGTTAAAATCTGAAGAA